CCCCAAAACCCCAAAACCCCAAAACCCCAAAACCCCAAAACCCCAAAACCCCAAAACCCCTAATAGTATATTTTAGCTGAGTTCAAACGGAAGATATAATATATTAAGTCAATGTCTTCTCACAAAGATTTGGTTGTGGTTACAGGTGCCTCAGGATACCTAGGAAGTTGGATTGTAGTTAAGCTGCTGAACTCTGGCAAGTACAAGGTCAGAGGAACTGTGAGAGAACATGATAATGCTGAGAAAATGGATCCTCTGAAGAAAGCTATTGAAGAAAATTGTAAGGATAACTATGAAGATCTTGAGTTTGCATCAGCTTCTCTTGATGATTTCGTTTCTATTAAGCTCGCACTAAAGGGAGCTAAATACGTCATCCACGTAGCTTCTCCTATGCCAGGTTCTAACACTAAGGACAGAGAGAATACTTTGATTAAGCCTGCTATTGAAGGCAATCTAAATGTTCTAAAAGCTTGCATTGATTCAACTGTTGAAAAGGTCGTTATCACTTCATCAGGACTTACAGTCTGTGACCATGCTGCTGGTGATGGCACTTATGGCCCAGAAACTTTTGTTGAAGAGCATAAAGATCTCGATGACTACTCGAAGAGTAAAATCCGTGCAGAAGCTGCAGCCAAAGAGTTTATGGAAGATCTTGGAGAAGATCAAAGAGACTTTGACGTGATGTTTATGCATCCTGGAGGAATCAGTGGAGCACCAATTGTTCCTCAAAGAAAGGGAGACACTATAGAGCAATTCTGTATGATATTGGAAGGAAAAGTACCAGGTGTTCCTCAGGTTTACTATCCAATGGTTGACGTTGAAGATACAGCTGAAGCTCATGTTAAAGCTTTAGAAAAAGGAGTTCATTTAGGAAGATACCCACTTTGTTCAGATACGATCAAAATGGTTGAAATTGTTAAAATTATCAAGAAGGACTATGAAGATATCATGGGGCACAAGATCTCTGATAAGGAAGTCGGTAAATGCTTGGTCTGGCTCGGGAGTTGGTTCAACTCAGATGCTAAGAATATCTACTACCATTGGAACATAAATGCAAGACTAGATGGAACCTATGCTAAAGAAGAGCTTGGATTAAAGGACTACAAGACTATCGAGCAAAGTATTGTTGAGACTTGTGATTTCCTTATCAAAAACAAACTTTGCAAGCAACCAAAAAAGCCTAAGGATACTGAAGATTCTAAAGAAGAAGCTAAGGAATAACTTTTTATCCACTCAAGTCAATTTTTTGGTGTGAAAAGGGGTTTTGGGGTTTTGGGGTTTTGGGGTTTTGGGG